GGCGAGACCCCGGAAGCGGCGGCCGCCGGAGGACCCTGACCTTGCCTTTGCAATAGCAGAGGAATTACATACATTGCTCTGGGCTCCGTTACGTTAGGGGGCTCCCGCCGTGGGGCTGAGCACACCCCGCCGTAGCATCACAATAACCCTGCCCTCGTTAGGTTTCTAGCACTAACAGAGCGTGCGTGGGTCTTTGCTGTCTCATATCAGATCTGTCCCTGTGGGAGCTGGCTGAAGCTGAAGCAGAAGCAAATAGCAGAGGAATTACATACATTGCTCTGGGCTCCGTTACGTTAGGGGGCTCCCGCCGTGGGGCTGAGCACACCCCGCCGTAGCATCACAATAACCCTGCCCTCGTTAGGTTTCTAGCACTAACAGAGCGTGCGTGGGTCTTTGCTGTCTCATATCAGATCTGTCCCTGTGGGAGCTGGCTGAAGCTGAAGCAGAAGCAGCAGCAGAAGGTGGCGGCTAACCAGCCCTGCACCGGTTGGGTTCCTTTGTGTCACCAACATGCAGTGATCTGTGCTGCCTTGCATCAGACCCATCCCAACCCTACGTGAGTGAGTGGGACCACTTGAAGCAGCAGTAAGAGGCTGCAGCCTAGCCCTGCCCTCACTGGGCTTGCATTAGCAGAGCATGCATTGATTTGCTGCCTTGTCTTAGACTCATCCCAGCCATCGGGGTGCGTGGTGCATGGTGTGGGAGATACAAGGTCTCTATAATAAATGATAGAGGATACAATGACTTTGCTGTCTCTGCTGGGCCGGATCATGCGTTACTTCTTGCTGAGACCAGAGACCCTGTTCCTGCTGTGTATCAGCCTGGCCCTTTGGAGCTACTTCTTCCACACTGATGAGGTGAAAACCATTGTCAAGTCCAGCAGGGATGCTGTGAAAATGGTGAAAGGCAAGGTGGCTGAGATCATGCAGAATGACAGGTTTGGGGGACTGGATGTGCTGGATGCGGAGTTCTCCAAGACCTGGGAGTTCAAGAGCCACAATGTGGCTGTCTACTCCATCCAAGGGCGAAGGGACCACATGGAAGACCGGTTCGAAGTGATCACAGACCTTGTCAACAGGACCCACCCTTCTATCTTCGGGATATTTGATGGGCATGGAGGAGAGGCAAGTTTGTGGGATGATTAATGTTCACAAGGCATAATGAATGTATGAATACACATTTCTTTTGGGTTAGGTGTTGACAATTCTTTTTCATTCCAGCAGACAGTTCCTAGGGCTCTGGGACAGAACTAATTCTTGAGTCTCCCCTGTCCTCTGGTATCAGAGCTCTTGGAGGAAGTGGGAAAAATGCATGCATAGTCAAACTTTGCAACAGGGAGTTATTGTAAAAGGAGGTGGATTCAGCCTCCCTGGATAATTAATGCAGATTGCCTGGATAATCTTTTGTTAGGGAATGATGTGAACTGGGGAAAGGAGTGGGTGCCCCATCCTACACGGGACTGGGCTCAGCAACAGCAATGAGGGTTAGTCTAGGGGGAGACTATATAGAACAAATATTTTTTTAAAAAAGGAATGAATATGAGCAACCTCATGTTTTCATGCATAGAAAGAAAGTTTAGCTCGGTCAGTAACACATCACCTTCCTCAAGGTGAGAGAAACCCATGGAGCTTCTCTTCATTTCTTGCATCTTTCCTGTTAATGATTTGTTTCTCCTTTTGAGGGAAGAGCCAGGGAAGTTCCTGCTACCACTAACATTTTCTGCTTGCTGGAATAAAACCTTTGACTTTCCAGCTAGGGAAGGTTTTTTTCTTTTCACATTGTCTTCTGTGTCTTGTATTATTACTTGATGAGATGCATCTTTACTTCAAACAGTAACTGTGAAAGCTTTCTTTAGCTTTTTTTTCTTATCTAGGAATACAGAGCTTCCCTTTAGCTGTCTGTGCTGTATACAAAGAGCAAGTTCTTGTAACTGTAGTTTATTTTTCTGGGTAGAAAGGAAATTTAGAAGGAATTTGTGAGTCCTAGCTTCTGTTACACAAACCTGATATACGTATGGTTAGGGCAAGAGTGTTTTGGAGGAAATGAAGAAAAGATGCATGTTAACATTTCATTTAAAGATGAAATTTTCCCCAGCTGAAGAGTCTGTCTGTGTTTGTTTCTGTGCTGGGGCATAAGGGCTTTCGATTTCCTTCAGCTGTTCTCACATATCAAATAGCCAAGGTATCATTCTGGAAATGCTTTGACAGAGACTAGGCACTTGGGGAACACACAAGGACAGCAGCTGCTGCCCTTCTAAACCTAAGTGTGCTGTTTCTAAACCCCGTGCATTGGACAGATGGGAGAACATTCCCTTTATCTTCCTTCAGGCAATGTGATTGAAGTCTGCATTACTACTTTCTTGCCTTGGTTAGGATTTTGTCACCTCAGTAATAACAATTTATTATCGGAGTAAACTTAACACTTTTTGAATATTAAAAGGTTTTGCTAGGTTTTTATACTTGTATACTTTGTATTTTTATACTTGGTTTTGATCAGTTCCATATTTTTTCTTGGATTGGAGGGAGGTTGCCATCCTTCAAGGAATGGCAATTAATTGGTATAGAGCACAAATTCATGCCTGCCCTGCACAAGCCTGATAATAATCGCCTCTGAACTGCACTGTCTTCTGAGCCATGTTTGAAAACAGAATGTGGAGTAGAAATGTATACAGTTTTTCTTATATACAACAGCTGGTCAAACTAACTGGAACAACACTGGGCTTTTTAAATCTAATTCATTGTAGATAAATGCACAGTACAAGCCTTTAGCCCTTGGCATAGTACACAGTAGCAATTGTGTCTCTTGTTAAATTGCATCATGTAATATGTTTGGCCCCTCTCTGGGGGGCCAGAAGTGCTACAGGAAATCTAAGCACTTGTTTCCAAAACTGAAGATGCTAAATAACTGCACTTTCTAATCTTGTGTTAAATAACAAGAGTATTAATACAAGTTAATCTCTGTGGTCTGGGACTCAGTGGTCTGGCAACATCCATGGTTCAGAAGGACCATGGATGTTGCTGGACTAGAGAACCCCAAAACAGAGGTTGCTGGCAGCTGGGAGAAGAACCAACTGGTGATGCAGCGGAGCCCACAGGACAGCAGATCCCAGCTTGGCCAGCTGCGGGAAGTTAGTGGGAGCACTGGAACCTGTACGGTGGGGGGCATCAGAGCTTGCAATGGGCTGGGAAGCCAGCAGGGTTACCGAGCCCACAGCCCATGGGGTCAGGAAGGTTGTGGAGGAGGGGGGGGCTGCAGAGTCCACAGCTGGTGGGTCCACGAGCACTGACGGGGCTGCTGGGGTCGGCAGGGCTGCTGCAACCAGGGGGCTGAGGGCAGTGGTGCTAAGTAGCTGGGGAGAGGAGCCCAGCAGGGAGGCTGGTGCACGCCCTCCTCCAACCTTCCTGGCCCAGAAAACTCCCTTTTCCAGGACTGGTGAGGTCCCCAGGGAGCCAGACTATAGAGGTCTGACCCATACAAGTACAGGCAGTCCCCGGGTTACATACAAGATAGGAACTGTAGGTTTGTTTTTAAGTTGAATTTGTATGTAAGTCGGAACTGGTACATATTTTGGGGGGGGACGGGGAGCTGGAGTTAGGTGGAAAAGACCCTGATTCTCATACAACTTCCTTATTCTAAGAAAAACACATACTGTTTTGATATGAAGGTTTTTTTGGTTGATATTTTAATTAAAAATTGATCATAAGTTTCAGTGTTTCATGCTATATCCAAATCTTCCTTTTGGGGTACCTGAAAGATCCCAGTTATTCATTTAATAGTCAGAATCTTTGTTTTTTATAACTAAAAAAAGTTTATTCAATGCATATTACTGTTCCAAATAGAATTTGCTACAGATGGTTCAGTGAAATGGGTATTAAGTGTAATCAATAGTCATTGGAGAGCACAGTGAAATATTGATACAATCAAAGCTGTTGTTGTATTCTGCTGAGCAGAAAATGGAAATCCCTTCCTGTGAAGTGTGTGTGTGAATTTATCCACAGGATTAATTTTAAAGAAAAATTCTGTGTTGGGAACAGGAGTTTAGCCACAGGTGGGTCCTCATTGTCCACTCACCCACTTTGCAACCAGACCCATGCCCTCGGGGCTTACCCTGCTCCGCTCCAGCCCGGGTGTGGGGCTGGAGCTTATCCCCTCTTCTGTCCTGCTCCTAGCTCCAGGCAAAAACCTGCAGCTCCACTGCTCCGTACTCCAGCTCTGGGCTCCGCTCCAAAGCCCTGAAAAGAACCCTTTCCAGGTGATGAGTCCATGACCTGTAGAGGCAAATACATCTCACTCACTGGAGGGGAGAAGGGGCCCATGTGATACTCTGTACAGTTTAGAAAGTTCTTTAAACTGCAGCAAGAAATGCAGTTTGGAACTTAGCCATCCCTTATACCTGCCCAGCAGACCCACGTCCTCCGTGTCGAGAAAAGCCGCTCCGCGTCTCCCTGGTCTGCTGGGGGGGGCGCTAGCTCCGCGTCTCCCTGGTCTGCTGGGGGGAAGCGCCCCCTGCGCCGCCGGCGGCGGCGACAGTGGGGGAGGCACCCCGCACTATCTGCGTCCCTCCTCCCCCCGTTTGTAACTAGGGATCCGACGTAAGTCGGATTGATGTAACCCGGGGACTGCCTGTACTTTTACTCTTCTCAATAGATATAGGTCTAACCTCAGATTCTAACATTAGTATATGGCACTAATAACTTTATATCTTCAAACTTCATTTACTTTCTATACCAATAGTCACCTGCTGTGGTGCTCTGAGAGCTTGTTCTTGATTGATAAGGTGGAGTAGTGTTTAAAATAAAAGCTCTAATTTTGAGAGCGTTAATAGATCCCGCTAAACTTTATTCAAGTGAATATCTTAAAATATACATTCCAGTACACATTATCTGGTTTTCAAATGAAAGTATTCTGTGGGTCCCTATTTACTACTTGTCTTAAGAAACAAGTCTCTAAGTGATTCATACAAAATGGTTTTCTATTTTTGTAGTGTTGCCTAAAAGAAATTGAGTTATCAGAGCATGAAGTGCCTGGACTGGGTGCATTAAACACTCTGTTTGCATAACAGTTAATATTAGCTACATATGCCTTGTTGATTTGAGCAGAGTAGCAAAGTGCTTGTTTTTATTGCAAACAAAATATTTGTCTTATTTTTTAGTCTTACATTTAAAGCATTTTTATGTATGTTGGAGAGGAAAAATATCATGAAATATGGTTAATGGCTCCTTGGAAGACTGTACCTAAATATGTAATAAAGCTTTTATCATAATGAATGAATTTTCCATTGGTTGGCTGGGGAGCTAGGTAGCTTCTATAAAACCGTTCATCTTGTATATAAGGGACAAGCGAATGACCATCTGGGATTCTATGGGGGAGCAATATATGAGATGAAGCAGATTTTCCTTTTCTTACCAAAAACATTGAAAGTATAAAATGCTGAATTAATTCTTCCCTGTCATTATCTGTTGCCACATCAGGTGAAGTACAGAGAAGCATCGGCCAAGTAATATTAGTTACTGAGTATTGTTAAATTGTGAACGTTTTAAGAGTTTTAATATTGGTATTTTTGCATAAACAGAGATTTTCGTTTAGTAGTGTGGGTGATTACAAGGGATTTTATTGTGTGTCGTTTACACGATTAACTGACAAGCCTGGTCTTATCGGTTAATCCTAATGACTATCCGCCCCCTCCCCCGCTCTGATGCCTCTGTATCAGAGGCAGCAAGGGGGGAAGCAGGAGCTGGTGCCAATGGGGAGCCAGCTCTCAGAGCTACCAGCCCCCTCCTCTGCTGCCTTCTACAGAAGCAGCAGCATGGGGGTGAGGGAGAGGAGGTGGGAGCTGATACATGTGGGAAACTGGCTTTTAAGATGGCTCTCCACGCGTGCTGGCTCTTGTGGGGCCACCTGCCCTCCCTCTCCCCCTTGTTGCCTTCCACAGAGGCAGCAGCACAGGGGGGGGGGCAGACAGGAGCCAGTGCTCCCTGCACTACTGCCTCTGATAGAGAGGCAGCAGTGCGGAAGGGGGGAGGTAGTGCATAAGGAAAGCCGGTTACCTGGCGCATACCGGCTCCACAGAGCTGCCTGCTCCCCTCTACCTGCACTGCAACCTCTGTATCAGATCACTGGCTCC